GTTGGATCCACATCTAGGGGGTGGAGATTGGTAGGGTTAGGGACCAGGGGGTGGAGACGGGTAGGTTTAGGTATATGTAAGGTGGGAGAAGTTGGATCTGGATCCAACCACGCCCCCTGGATCTTGTGTTCTGCAGTGAGGACCATCTCGGTTTCGCTGACAGTTTGGGGATCCATAGCATTACAAAGTTTAGTGACAAGCTCTTTTGAATGCTTTTCATTGGTTAAATATTTGTAAAACCCTCAAACAGACATAAGGAAGACCAATAGCAGTGATTTAAAACAATAATAACGAAATATAATAGAGAGTTTGGATTTTCCACGGCACACCTGACTGGGCTAGGGTATGGCGACTGCCATACTCTGCCATACGGAAACGCCGCCCCTGCTTGAGTATACTGTGTGCTATGTGTATATTATGGAAATGTGTATAATGTGTATATTGTGTAAAATGTGCATATTCTTATTTATGTATATTGTTAATTTTTCATATCTTGTTGCTTGTACTGCCATGGCACAGAGTCTTGTACCTAAGAATTTCACCATCATTACGCTTGTGTACACAATGTGTGACAATAAAGAGTATATTGTTATGTATACTGTTAATTTTTCATATCTTGTTGCTTGTACTGCCATGGCACAGAGTCTTGTACCTAAGAATTTCACCATCATTACGCTTGTGTACACAATGTGTGACAATAAAGAGATTTGATTTGATTTGATAACTGGTGATGGAAGACCACCAGCATAATAAGTTTAACACTCATTCTCTTGTTTTATTAAAATTTTTGTGAAAGCACTGAATTGCTAAAAACTAGGCATGGCTGACGCGAAACTGACATTTCGACACGGTGTCGAGATCCCGAAGCTCAGATGTTTTGAAACACTGCTCCGAAGTGTGATTCGAAACACCCATGTCACGTGACTACGTTTCACAAGAGTTTCGAGATGGTTATACCTGCCGAATCTGTGTTTGATTGACAGGATCGGGAACAAACCACACAATCGCACATCTGTCTCAACCTAACTCCCACATCATTCATGCTAGGCTGCATGGATGCGCAGGGAGTTCTTGCCCAGAACAGAACCATACCGCCAATCCAAACTGTATGCTAATTGCCAATCATCTTTGACGAAAGTGGTCCTGACAAAACTAGAGATGTCTGACGTGAAACTGACATTTCAACACGGTTTCGAGATCCCGAAGCGCAGATGTTTTGAAACACTGTTCCGAAGCGTGATTCGAAACACTCATGTCACGTGACTACGTTTCACAAGTGTTTAGAGACGAGCATACCTGCCGAATCTGCATTTGATTGACAGGGTCGGGAACAAACCACACAATCGCACATCTGTCTCAACCTAACTCTCACAAAGTATAAAAGTGGAGTTAACGCAGCAGAACAATTAATATTTTTAAATAAAAATCTTTATGTAAAAAATGTCAGACGTTGTGGCTTGATGTCTTTTATTAATGTTCATTTTTCATGACCAAAATGACATATTTATTCACAAAGAGTTCATTCAGTTGTCAGAGAGATGTTACAACACATTACAAAAAAGAACAATAAAAACACAACTTTTAAATGTTTATTATAATTATATGCATAGATACAGTATATTTTACATAACTATATTGTAATAATATATAATGTTGTGCGCAATCGGTCACGCCCACTGGAGTCTCGTCGGTAGGTGACGTATGTGCTGATAGCGCTGAAGTAAACTAACACTGAAACAGAACCTACTCCGGAGCAGGGGGCTGTTTCATTAAACAAGTTTACCAAATAAGCCTGGCTTATTTCAGTTAGTCTGACTTATTGTCACTTGATTTGGTTTCAGAAAGCAAATTTACCATAGCTCAAGCTCAGTCACTGTGGCAACTTATGCTGGGAAACTAACCTGGTCCGGAGCAGGCTAACTGTCAGGCTAAGCTGAGCTCCTCTAACACTGACCAATAGGAACGCATTGATATTACCACTGCAATGACTTTCCCACATACAATTAGTTGACTTTATTATTAGTCCAAAAATAAAAGTATATAGAAAATGCAACAAATGAAATATAGGCTACAACCAACTGTATTTAATGTATTGTGCCCAAAATGTAATGACCTTTTTTTAAGATATATAAAAACATTTTAACATGCTGCTACATGCGCATTCAGTTGATCAGCAGTTTCTAGCCATGCAGCCTTTCTCTCGGGTATGACAACTGTACCTTTTATGGTTATTAGTAGAACATTAAAACATTACAATCCAAAATTGCTATTTAAATCATTAAAAACACTAAATTAAAAGTTAAAATCAATGAATTAAAAATGAAAATAAATAATAGAAATCAGACAACATTTTAACTGATAAGAAGAATACATATTTAACTAATCTGAGCTAGTAATTAGGTGGTAGCTAGTAATTAATAACATTCAAATACATTACTGCTATCATTAAAATACACCTATGTAGGATTAAAATTCTACATGTCACATTTAATGTCCAACAACAAATATTTTAGCAGAAAGTATATTTTACTCAGAATTATTGCACTATTATATTTAGCATGCATGCGTGCAGTAGTACTCGTTTACGTGCCAATCCTCGCCCACTCCTGACAGTAAAATAAATATATTTGCATGACTTTCTAACATTTACATGTGAAAAATATACCTGTGACGTGTCCGTTATGCACTGAGGAAAACACAACGTCTCAAAGGCATTAAACAGCACAAATATTCGCTGTTTGCCATAGTGGCTCGATTTGATCCATGAGCGACCTTAAGGGCTGCTTAAGAATAAGTGAGCACATCAAATTATCCTGACTCATTGAACCTGGATTGATTAGTGAGATTGCGTGAATTTAAATGGTCGTTTATGAAACCGCTTTGACTTTAGTCTTTGCAACTTCAGGGATCTTATCTATGCACAATCAGCTTGTAACACTCCAAAGAGAAAGGAAAACTTGAAATCGCATCATATGACCCCTTTAATGTTAATTTTTCATGACCAAAATGACATATTTATTCACAAAGAGTTCATTCAGTTGTCAGAGAGATGTTACAACACATTACAAAAAAGAACAATAAAAACACAACTTTTAAATGTTTATTATAATTATATGCATAGATACAGTATATTTTACATAACTATATTGTAATAATATATAATGTTGTGCGCAATCGGTCACGCCCACTGGAGTCTCGTCGGTAGGTGACGTATGTGCTGATAGCGCTGAAGTAAACTAACACTGAAACAGAACCTACTCCGGAGCAGGGGGCTGTTTCATTAAACAAGTTTACCAAATAAGCCTGGCTTATTTCAGTTAGTCTGACTTATTGTCACTTGATTTGGTTTCAGAAAGCAAATTTACCATAGCTCAAGCTCAGTCACTGTGGCAACTTATGCTGGGAAACTAACCTGGTCCGGAGCAGGCTAACTGTCAGGCTAAGCTGAGCTCCTCTAACACTGACCAATAGGAACGCATTGATATTACCACTGCAATGACTTTCCCACATACAATTAGTTGACTTTATTATTAGTCCAAAAATAAAAGTATATAGAAAATGCAACAAATGAAATATAGGCTACAACCAACTGTATTTAATGTATTGTGCCCAAAATGTAATGACCTTTTTTTAAGATATATAAAAACATTTTAACATGCTGCTACATGCGCATTCAGTTGATCAGCAGTTTCTAGCCATGCAGCCTTTCTCTCGGGTATGACAACTGTACCTTTTATGGTTATTAGTAGAACATTAAAACATTACAATCCAAAATTGCTATTTAAATCATTAAAAACACTAAATTAAAAGTTAAAATCAATGAATTAAAAATGAAAATAAATAATAGAAATCAGACAACATTTTAACTGATAAGAAGAATACATATTTAACTAATCTGAGCTAGTAATTAGGTGGTAGCTAGTAATTAATAACATTCAAATACATTACTGCTATCATTAAAATACACCTATGTAGGATTAAAATTCTACATGTCACATTTAATGTCCAACAACAAATATTTTAGCAGAAAGTATATTTTACTCAGAATTATTGCACTATTATATTTAGCATGCATGCGTGCAGTAGTACTCGTTTACGTGCCAATCCTCGCCCACTCCTGACAGTAAAATAAATATATTTGCATGACTTTCTAACATTTACATGTGAAAAATATACCTGTGACGTGTCCGTTATGCACTGAGGAAAACACAACGTCTCAAAGGCATTAAACAGCACAAATATTCGCTGTTTGCCATAGTGGCTCGATTTGATCCATGAGCGACCTTAAGGGCTGCTTAAGAATAAGTGAGCACATCAAATTATCCTGACTCATTGAACCTGGATTGATTAGTGAGATTGCGTGAATTTAAATGGTCGTTTATGAAACCGCTTTAGTCCCAATTGATTTCATAGGTTATTTCAAGTCAGGTTTTGGACTTTAATCCCCGCTTTTCTTAGCATCTTTTATGAAACAGCCCCCTGCTTTCTGGAATACCCCCCTGATAGTGTCCAAAACAGTGCTCTGGAGTAACTAAGCAGTGACATTACTAACTTGACTACTTTTTTAACAGTTTGACAGTTGTTTTAAAAGTAGTTTATCTCAACCAGTACTGAGCTAAATGTGTATATAGTTTAAGGTTGTGATCATTCACTGTTTGACTCTATTGGCACTTTATGTATTTATCTATTCAGATGTTGTCACTTTAATTCATCTTCATTGTTATTGTGGCAGATAAATGCTCCTACATTTCCACCACCCTTCATACTGTAGGAGAAACAGTATAGACCATGTTGGATTAATTTAGTAAATTCAAGTAATATTATCTTCTAAAAATAAAATAAAATTGACATCTATGAAGATTTTGAAAATCACAATAGTAATTTCTCAACCAACCAATGTCTGCAGGAGAATGTTAACGAGTAGGTCTTCTCTTACTAATTTCACTTTAACGAGGAACCCAGGTGATGAAAATCTGTGTTACTTTAAAACCCCTGACTCAACGCTTGTTTTAGAAAGCAGTGTTAGATTGTTCAAACTTTACTCAAGATGGCTGTTTCAAATCTTATGTTTTTGGTGTTTTTGTGTCACCAGTTGGTGCTCAATGGTGAAGTTGTTCCCACCTTGATGTAGTGTTTTAAGTATTTTTTTGTGTGTGTCTTTCTTTAACCTTATATTTTGTCTTCAGGATTTGCTTCTCCAATTGGGTATCCTTTATACCAGACTGGTAGTGAGCAAGTGCGCTTGGAGAAGAAAGGTTTTTACATTTTTGTGTGGTCATGGCATTCTGTTTTTTTTTTTGTTTTTTTTTTCCACATGTCGTTGATTTAATGGGGCATACTGACTTCCTGTATTATTAGTGAAACAATACAGAAATACAGCAGTGTGTGATTCACCCGAAATGCAGTTCAGATCTAAATTTAGCATTAAATATGTTTATGCCTCAAATGTTAAACCCAGGTCTCATCTGAGATTATCAGATTTTAAATGGGGCACTTAAAAATAAAATGTGAAACTTTTTTTAAATGCATGTAATCAGGGACTGAGTGCAATTGAGTCTTACAGTAGTTTTAGCTATTCAAATTATGAATACTGTTCTGATCTCTGTGCCCTGTGTAGTGGGAGGGCAAAGTCCAAAACTATACAGGTCCACCCCTGGTGTAGTTCCACATTTAACACTTCAATGAAGCATACTTTTAAGTTTATCATGTCTTAGTTAAAATGTTTCTTTTTTTTTGTAAGTTCCAAAATTATTTATTTTAAAGTTGTGACGTGTATAGTTGTACTCCAGTTCTTGCATCTTGTTTTCCAGATGGCCCCTTGTCATGTCCTTATGCAAGCCAAAATCCAAACCCACCAGTGGTAGCAAAGTGCAACTTGGCTGTTCTGCTGTCTTTGAAGAATGTATCTGGGCTAGTTATCCAAAAGGGTAATATTTTCTGATGATACTTTACCATGAGGAAAGCTAGTTTCATCTTAGCTGACATGTTTTGCACCAGTTTTCTGTAGGTATTGATGTGAATAATTTGTCTGTAGAGTCCAGCCCTCTCCCTGTCAAGGAGTCAGGCACTTTACCCACTGAGGTTGAAGGGAAGCTGACTGAGTCTCGCCCTCTGCCTGCTGAAGAGTCCAACACTATCCCAGCTGGGGAATCTAGCTCTCTGCCTGCCAAGGAGTCCAGCACTATCCCAGCTGGGGAATCTAGCTCTCTGCCTGCCGAGGAGTCCAGCCCCCACCCTGCCAAGGAGTCCAGCACTCTCCCAGCTGGGGAATCTAGTCCTCTGCCTGCTGAGACCAGCCCTCACCCAGTTGCAGAGTCCTGCCCCCAGCCTGCCAAGGAATCCATTGCTATCCTAACTGGGGAGTCCAACACTCTCCCAGCTGCAGAGTCCAGTTCTCTGCCTGCTGAGGCCAGCTCTCACCCAGTTGCGGAGTCCAGCCCCCAGCCTGCCAAGGAGTCCAGTGCAATCCCAACTGGGGAATCTAGCTCTCTGCCTGCTGAGGAGTCCAGCCCCCAGCCGGCTAAGAAGTCCAACACTCTCCCAGCTGCAGAGTCCAATCCTCTGCCTGCTGAGTTCAGCCCTCACCCAGTTGCAGAGTCCAGCCCCCAGCCTACCAAGGAATCCAATGTTATCCCAACTGGGGAATCTAGTTCTCTGTCTGCTGAGGAGTCCGGCCCCCAGCCTACCAAGGAGTCCAATGCTATCCCAGCTGGGGAACCTAGCTCTCTGCCTGCTGAGGAGTCCAGCCCCCAGCCTGCCAAGGAATCCAATGTTATCCCAACTGGGGAACCTAGCTCTCTGTCTACTGAGGAGGCCAGCCCCCAGCCTGATGAGGAACCCAGCCCTCACCCAGTTGCAGAGTCCAGCCCCCAGTTTGCCAAGGAATCCAATGTTATCCCAACTGGGGAACCTAGCTCTCTGCCTGCTGAGGAGTCCAGCCCCCAGCCTGCCAAGGAGTCCAGCACTCTACCAGCTGGGGAATCTAGCTCTCTGCCTGCTGAGGAGTCCAGCCCCCAGCCTGCCAAAGAATCCAATGTTATCCCAACTGGGGAACCTAGCTCTCTGCCTGCTGAGGAGACCAGACCCCAGCCTACCAAGGAACCCAGCCCTCACCCAGTTGCAGAGTCCAGCTCCCAGCCTACCAAGGAGTCCAGTGCAATCCCAGCTGGGCAACCTAGCTCTCTGCCTGCCAAGGGATCCAATGTTTTCCCAACTGGGGGATCTAGCTCTCTGCCTGCTGAGGAGACCAGCCCCCAGCCTACCAAGGAGTCCAGTGCAATCCCAGCTGGGCAACCTAGCTCTCTGCCTGCCAAGGGATCCAATGTTTTCCCAACTGGGGGATCTAGCTCTCTGCCTGCTGAGGAGTCCAGCCCCCAGCCTGACGAGGAACCCAGCCCTCACCCAGTTGCAGAGTCCAGCCCCCAGCCTACAAAGGAGTCCAGTGCAATCCCAGCTGGCGAACCTAGCTCTCTGCCTGCTGAGGAGTCCAGCCCCCAGTCTGCCAAGGAACCCAGCAGTATCCCAGCTGGGGAGTCTAGTTCTCTGCCTGCTGAGGAGTCCAGCCCCCAGCCTGCCAAGGAATCCATTGTTATCCCAACTGGGGGATCTAGCTCTCTGCCTGCTGAGGAGTCCAGCCCCCAGCCTGCCAAGGAGTCCAACACTCTCCCAGCTGCAGAGTCCAATCCTCTGCCTGTAGAGTCCAGCCCCCAGCCTACCAAGGAGTCCAATGCTATCCCAACTGGGGGATCTAGCTCTCTGCCTGCCGAGGAGTCCAGCCCCCAGCCTGCCAAGGAGTCCAACACTCTCCCAGCTGCAGAGTCCAATCCTCTGCCTGCAGAGTCCAGCCCCCAGCCTACCAAGGAGTCCAATGCTATCCCAACTGGGGGATCTAGCTCTCTGCCTGCTGAGGAGTCCAGCCCCCAGCCTACCAAGGAGTCCAATGCTATCCCAACTGGGGGATCTAGCTCTCTGCCTGCTGAGGAGTCCAGCCCCCAGCCTACCAAGGAGTCCAATGCTATCCCAACTGGGGGATCTAGCTCTCTGCCTGCTGAGGAGTCCAGCCCCCAGCCTACCAAGGAGTCCAATGCTATCCCAACTGGGGGATCTAGCTCTCTGCCTGCTGAGGAGTCCAGCCCCCAGCCTACCAAGGAGTCCAATGCTATCCCAACTGGGGGATCTAGCTCTCTGCCTGCTGAGGAGTCCAGCCCCCAGCCTACCAAGGAGTCCAATGCTATCCCAACTGGGGGATCTAGCTCTCTGCCTGCTGAGGAGTCCAGCCCCCAGCCTACCAAGGAGTCCAATGCTATCCCAACTGGGGGATCTAGCTCTCTGCCTGCTGAGGAGTCCAGCCCCCAGCCTACCAAGGAGTCCAATGCTATCCCAACTGGGGGATCTAGCTCTCTGCCTGCTGAGGAGTCCAGCCCCCAGCCTACCAAGGAGTCCAATGCTATCCCAACTGGGGGATCTAGCTCTCTGCCTGCTGAGGAGTCCAGCCCCCAGCCTACCAAGGAGTCCAATGCTATCCCAACTGGGGGATCTAGCTCTCTGCCTGCTGAGGAGTCCAGCCCCCAGCCTACCAAGGAGTCCAATGCTATCCCAACTGGGGGATCTAGCTCTCTGCCTGCTGAGGAGTCCAGCCCCCAGCCTACCAAGGAGTCCAATGCTATCCCAACTGGGGGATCTAGCTCTCTGCCTGCTGAGGAGTCCAGCCCCCAGCCTACCAAGGAGTCCAATGCTATCCCAACTGGGGGATCTAGCTCTCTGCCTGCTGAGGAGTCCAGCCCCCAGCCTACCAAGGAGTCCAATGCTATCCCAACTGGGGGATCTAGCTCTCTGCCTGCTGAGGAGTCCAGCCCCCAGCCTACCAAGGAGTCCAATGCTATCCCAACTGGGGGATCTAGCTCTCTGCCTGCTGAGGAGTCCAGCCCCCAGCCTACCAAGGAGTCCAATGCTATCCCAACTGGGGGATCTAGCTCTCTGCCTGCTGAGGAGTCCAGCCCCCAGCCTACCAAGGAGTCCAATGCTATCCCAACTGGGGGATCTAGCTCTCTGCCTGCTGAGGAGTCCAGCCCCCAGCCTACCAAGGAGTCCAATGCTATCCCAACTGGGGGATCTAGCTCTCTGCCTGCTGAGGAGTCCAGCCCCCAGCCTACCAAGGAGTCCAATGCTATCCCAACTGGGGGATCTAGCTCTCTGCCTGCTGAGGAGTCCAGCCCCCAGCCTACCAAGGAGTCCAATGCTATCCCAACTGGGGGATCTAGCTCTCTGCCTGCTGAGGAGTCCAGCCCCCAGCCTACCAAGGAGTCCAATGCTATCCCAACTGGGGGATCTAGCTCTCTGCCTGCTGAGGAGTCCAGCCCCCAGCCTGCCAAGGAATCCAATGTTATCCCAACTGGGGAACCTAGCTCTCTGCCTACCGAGGAGTCCAGCCCCCAGCCTACCAAGGAGTCCCGTGCAATCCCAGCTGGGGAACCTAGCTCTCTACCTGCCAAGGAATCCAATGTTTTCCCAACTGGGGGATCTAGCTCTCTGCCTGTGGAGGAATCCATCCCCCAGACTGCCAAAGAATCCAGTACTCTCCCAGCTGGGGAATCTAGTTCTCCGCCTGCCGAGGAATCCAATGTTATCCCATCTGGGGGATCTGGCTCTCTGCCTGCTGAGGAATCCAATGCTATCCCAACTGGGGAACCTAGCTCTCTGCCTGCTGAGGAGTCCAGCCCCCAGCCTACCAAGGAGTCCCGTGCAATCCCAGCTGGGGAACCTAGCTCTCTGCCTGCTGAGGAGTCCAGCCCCCAGCCTGACGAGGAAACCAGCCCTCACCCAGTTGCAGAGTCCAGCCCCCAGCTTGCCAAGGAATCCAGTGTTATCCCAACTGGGGAACCTAGCTCTCTGCCTGCTGAGGAGTCCAGCCCCCAGCCTGACACGGAGCCCAGCCCACACCCAGTTGCAGAGTCAGGCACTCTGCCTGCTGGGAAGTCTAGCACTCTGCCCACTGAGGTTGATGGGATGAAGCTTTCTGAGTCCAGCCCTCAGCCTGCCAAGGAGTCCAGTACTCTCCCAGCTGGGAAATCTAGTTCTCTGCCTACTGAGAAGTCCAGCCCCCAGCCTATCAAAGAATCCAATGCTATCCCAGCTGGGGAACCTAGCTCTTTGCCTGCTGAGGAGTCCAGCCCGCAGCCTGCCAGGGAACCCAGCGCTATCCCAGCTGGGGGACCTAGCCCTCATCCTGATGGAGAGTCCAGTGCTCTCCCCACCCAGGAGTCTAGTCCCTACCCTGCCAAGGAGTCCATCCCTCAACGTGTCATTACCTGCCTGCTTCAACCAAGATGTGCTTATGCACTGAAGTCTTTTAGTAGATTTGTTCATCTCTAAATGTGGCATTTTCACATCTTGTTTCAAGTCAATAAAACCAGTTTTCTGGTAAAATTTCGTTTTACGTTTTTTTATCTGCATTTTGCACAATCTATCCTAACAGACAATGGTTATGCAGCCTCTACCTTCCTGTGTTCCAGCTAAGTTTAGAACCATTCCACCAAGGTGGTAAAATTAT